TTTCATAAATTCAATCCAAACACATACCAAGGGATTCAATTTATGTGTGTAAATGAAATCAAACACATGATAGTATCTTGAAAATTACAAGCTTTCCAGTAGGAGAAATTTTTTTGTGGGACGGGACTATAGTGGTCCTTCTCAAAAATAGAAAAAAAAAGAGGGACGGAGGGGAAAAAATCAAAAAGAAAAGAATAGAAATGGAAAAAAAAATTTCATTTATAGAAAATGGACCACTGAATAAATGGTGGGCCTGGAGCATGTTATATTTTTTCTTCCAGCAGATACAATAAGAGTTATTATTATTTATTTTATATTTCAAATTTACGTAAAATGATATGAGCACCATATTGTGGCTGAAGAGTAATCACTGAAACTGGAGCATGAGCATAAGCCGGAGAAAGTTCAAATGAGAAATGTTGTAAAACAAGCGATAAAGCCATCTTTGCTTCTAACAAGGAAAAGTTTTGTCCAATGCATATTCTAGGACCCCCTCCAAATGGAAAAAATGAAACTCTGCCATTTGTTGCCTTCAAAACACCTCCAGAAAATCTCTCAGGATTGAACTCTTCAGCATCGTCACCCCAGAGTTCACAGTCATGGTGAACCAAAACTATTGGTAAGGAAATTCGCACTCCAGCAGGTAATGTCACGTTTCCAAGTTTCATATCTTTGTGAACAGTTCGAACAAGCTCAAGTATTGGTGGGTATAACCTAAGAACCTCATACAAAATCATGGTGACCTGTTACCAAAAGATTAATGCTAAGGGTAAGTATCAAGGACATACTATTCAGTATCAAAATCAAAATAATAAAATACTTACAATCTTAAGGTGACTGAGCCCATCCAAATCTGGTTTGTTGTGTCCAAAGACTTGTAAGACTTCATCCCTTGCACGTGTTTGCCAATCAGGGTACCTACACAATAAGATCATTGTCCAAACAAGCAAAACTGAAGTGGTTTCCTGCCCTGCAAAGTAGAATAGCTTGCATTCCTCGATTGCATCTTCAAGATTCATTCCAACATTCTTATTGTTTCCTTGTTCTTCAATTTCCTTGTGATTTGACTCCAAAAGTATGCCTAATAAGTCATTCTTAGATGCTTCACCCGCCTTCAATGCGTTCTCTCTTTTGTTAATCATACCCTTAAGTGAAGCATTTACATCTCTGTGAATTTGCCTCATCCTCCGTTGGGTAGTATTAGGTAGAAACCTACAAATAAAAATAAGTTATCATGATTAAAAGGGAATGCTCATTCAAATATTAATTACCTTTCTAGTGGTTGTTCTGTCAGCAGTAAACGTAGTTTTGTTTTCCATATGTTAGAGTTTTACAGTTGCATGTTGCAATTCAGACACTGCATCTCATATTCCCATCACAATATTTAGTAAATAAGTGGATATTGTATATAACAGAGATTCTTATTCTTTGTGATAAATGTAACTTATCTAAATGAAATTTTTTCCTATTCATGTTGCTATTTAGGGACCGCATATTCCTATCACAATAATTGGTAAATTGCTCATTGTAAAAACAAATTTCTTTGATTCTTAATGATAAATATTATTTGCTAATTGTTGTTTCCTGTATAAAATATGGTAAGTTTAGTTCAGTTAAATAAATCTCATATAAAAGAAGCTTGATCTTGCTTTAGTCATCGAGTAGTCAGATACACAGATTAGTCTTACCTCCATCCAGGAATGAAAGTTTTCATTACAACTTTCGTTACAAGTTCAGCTTGCTCTTTTTGAAGTTCAAATATTCTTCTTCCCTCTTCATAACTACTACCAAATGCTGCTCTAGAAATAACATCACTCACCAAATTCTGAAGGAAAGGCCATACATCCATTTCACAGGAACCATCTAGAGATAACATTCCCTCCCATTTGCTAATCAGATCATTGCAACTTTTGAAAAATATTGGTAGCATAATCTGTGGTGTAATAAAGAAACAAGATGGAGTTAACATTCCCAGTGTCAAACTAAGCATAAAAACATGCAGATCGCTTGCAAAAGTATATGTCACTGGCTAAACTAGCATAAGCTGTGTGTTTGACATGTTTTCAAGAGGCACAAAAGTCGATTATATAATATCCAGATTTAGTAAAGGGAATCTAACCTTCAATTTTTCTAAATTGAATGCAGGATTGATTATCCTTCTGTGCTTGCTCCACTTTTCTCCCTCATGAAATGCAAGGCCAGTAACTAGTAACTTGAAAGCAGGATTGACATTAGGCTTTGGGAAATCATAATTCTTGTTAAGTACATCTTTTATTAGCTCTGGATCTGTGAGGGTCACCTTTGGTATTGCTCCCATCCAAATAAAAGAATTCTTGCCTGCATCACCACTAGAAACTTTAAAAGATGGTTTAAACAACAGATAAACAAAAAAAGGAAATTACAAGAGTTATTCAATAACAACAAGTGTAAAGAAAGAGGCAAATAGATGACAATTGCAAATAAGAGTGGGAAGCATAGTGATACCATGTTTGTTGACACTGTGTTGGTCATGGGGCAACACACGGGACACTATATCACCAGAAAGATTCATGGGTTTGGACCTTACTTCCTTTTGCATCTTCAGAATATCCATTAAGTCTCCAACCAAAAGCCTGTATGGATTGCCTTGAAGGCCTTGTTCTCTTAGCAGCCTCTCTAGCCTCTTTGGCCTCAGCCACAACCAGTTCAGCATCCTCCATCCCCATATCATAGCAAATATCACTGTAATAATTATGCCTGCTTTAGTGGCCCATGTTGCTTCCATTTTTGTCTCCGTGATTGGTAGGGGAAAGAAAACAGGGGAAGATGATAAAACCAAAGGAAGCAAAGCACCACACTTTTCAGAAATCAGAACTAGTCGATCTGATGGAATTTAAGTGGCAAAAACTACGAGGTCTTGTACTATTCCATGTAATAATAATAGGGTTATATACTTCTTCTGTCACTGCAGATGGGAAAAAGTGCAGCAACACTTATTTTTATCAGGATACGCGTCCGGATCCTGATATGTTTTTTTTTTTTTAGGCCAGGATACGACCCCGTATCCTAGTGTTAATAATTTGCTGCAATTTTTCTTATCAGCAGCAAAAGAAGAAACAACGAACCCATAATAACAAGGGGTTAATGTCTCTCCTTTTACACAAGAGACCAAAACATTCCTAAACACACCTTCCTAATCTGCAACTTGTAGTACATGTGTTCGTTATAAAGAATCTTTTTATAGCATGCACAAGCATGCCTATAACTTTCTGAGTTTCTAACTTTTCGTTGCTTTATTTATTTTTTCATGCTTTGACTTGCTTCCTTTGACAATTTTTTAGTCCTTGATTGCTCTCGGTTTTTGCATTTTCTGTTTAGCATAATTTTTTATAGATTATCTTCTGATTTTGACCCTGTGTAATCTGCAACTTGTACTATTTTACTGCTTTTTTCTTTCTCCTACCTCTCATGATGAAAGCCGGCTGGCTATTTAGTTTATGACCAACTACTTCCTTGTATTAGGGAATTCCATGTTACAAGGAGGAAAAACATTTTAAGAATTCTAGGTGATTATTATTTAACTTACGAAATGACACAGAGAAATATGTACATTAAAAGTAAGAGAATTTCACAGCTAAAATCCTTCAATCCTCGTTTAAAAAATGTGAGAAAATGAGGTGGAAGAAGGGTTGTTATAGGGGATAAAATAAACTTATTTTTGTCTCACTAAGTTAATGTACTTGGGTTAGTTGCTAATTGGTCTTTTATCAATTAATGGATGTTTACATATTTGAATTCATGTCATATAGATATCTGATAAGATGAAGAATATATATTGAAATGGTTTTGATACATAATGCAAAGAACAGTAGATGCTTTGTTACTAAGAACTTAACAAGAAAAGAATAAGAGGTTGACTGAAACTTCTTGAGGGAAAATAATAAAACAAGAATTAATGAAGGTGGAAATTAGGTTGGCGAATACTGTGTCTTAGGATGATTAATAGGAGTACGTAAAGCTATAAATATTATAGGGGATAGACCCGCTTTTCTTCTTTTATTTTAGACACTCTAATATTTTTTCCTATTTTTCCATTCAATTCTTTAGTTAATTATTGCCCTTACTAATTTATTTTTCCCTTTTATTGATTTTTTATTTTATTTTATTTTATTCCTTTGTATTTTTTTTTCTCTTATTTATCTTTATTTTCACTTTTTATATTTTTTTATTTTTTATTTTTTATTTTTAGATTTTATATTTTTATTTATTTTTCTCATCCCCCACCAAAATCTTTGCTTTTGGATTCATCAACCACGACTCTAACGAATTTGAAATAAATATATTCTTGATGTTATACTGCTTACCCATTTGATTTATTTTTGTCCTATAGATTGTTTCCTTGTTCTTAATATAATGCTCAGGTTCTTTGCCTATGAGCTGCGGAAAATTTTCTGTGCTTCTTTCCTTATTTTCGGTCTATAATGCTCTATTTGTTTTTCCTTTGATTAAATATATTCTAAAAAGTACATATAATCATTTCATGTTTTCAATATAAAATTTAGGGGGCAAAGACGTTGTCTAAGTTCAATTATAATAGCCCATATTAATTAATAAGGAAATCAAGTGTAATTAATTAATTAAACATGTTTTAGTGAGTAAAATTAAGTATAATGCTAAATTAAATGAATCTGAGTCACTTTGGAGTTAAAAAGTGTACTTAGTGAAAATTAAGGGGTATAAATGGGTACTGTCAAAAGTACCCAAAATATAAAAATAAAAATAGTAATATTCCTAGAATAATATTCCAGACTTTTGGGTAAAGTTTGGTAATTATTGGAGTTGAATAGATAGATGAACCAATACCCGCTTAAAGCCACTTAACCAATGTTAAGTGACTAAAAGCCAAAAGATGAACCCCAAACCCCCACTTTCCCGTCCACAGAAACAGAGAAGAAAGGAAGAAGAAGGAGAAGGAGGAGAAAGGGAGAGAGAAGAAGAGAGAGAGGAGGGAGCAAATCCCAACGGTTTTGGGTGATTCAAAAGCCTAAATCGCTTAGAATCTCGCCCTCTTTCATAATCCAAGCTTTGTTTTGAGTGGGGAGCATTGTGGAGAGGGATATTGCCTCTCAAAAATTCGGCCCTTTGGAGAAATTTGGGGTTTTGGGAAGTTCAACCTCCATGGGAGCTTGAGGAACACTCCTTGCTTGGTTGTGTGACCATTGGTGGTAAGATTCTAACCCTTGAACCTCATGATTCCTTGAAATTTGCATGAGTTAGGGTTTGTGAATAGTAAATTGGGATTTTTATGAAATGTAGTTGAATTAGCTATGTTCTAGGAAGAATGGAGCTTAGAGCATGTTATGGAAAATGCTAGGAATGTCATTTAATCGGTGGAAATGAGCCTAGATAATCATTTGATAATTGTTCATAATATTGGAAAATTCATGCTTGGATTGGTTAGTATTCTAGCATGTTGAACAATTAGTGAGTTGAATGATTGATTGGATCCTTGTGATGTCTAGGATTGAGACATTTGGATCAACCGTGAGTGATCAACCATTGGAGCAAGCTATGGAGCTTGAATAGCTCATTGGAATTGGTAAGCTCATACTTGTGTTGTGCTTTGAATTGAGTAATTGATGGTTGATTGTGAAATACTCTTGGATGCAATGTGTTGATTGCATTACACCATGTGTAGGTGTATGTTTGTAAAAGTTGATTGCTGAAACTGTTGGTGAAGAACAAAGGTCGACTGAAGCATTGAGGTAAGCCTTCGGACCTTGGGTGTAATTCCCTTGACTGTTCTACCAAGCCCTGAAAGGGTGGAGGTTGTGATTGTGTATATAAATGCAATAAAATAGTGTAATGCTTTGTTATACGTATGTGTATGCATTTGGTGTGGCATAGGATGGTGTTTCCCTATGTTGGTATGTGGCATGACGATGCGTAAATCATACTTGGTAGTTAGCTGGCCAGTAGGACTATTTGCATCTGAGTTTCCTTAGGACAGCTTGAGAGCTCGAGGGATTTCTCCTGGAGATGTATTGCACTTTGCATAGATATGTATTTACTGCATTATTATTGTTATTGCTATTACACTGATATGGAACTGTGGGGTGGAGAGATGCTCCAAGGACCCCTGGTTTACTGGATATATTCGTATATCTCACCCCGTGTTGTGGGGACCCCCTTTCAGGTAAGGATGCTGCAGGAGCCTCTGGTGGCAAGTGGCCATACCTAGATTATGCGTGAAATATGGCACTTCTTTGAGTTTATGCATGCCTTTTGTAGTTGACATGTATAGGATTTTATTTGGAAAGCCCATGATCATTTGTATATCTTGATTCATTGGATGAACTTAGCCTATGCTCATGCCTTTGGTTACACCTATTGTTGATGGGAGCCAAGGGAATGATCATAGTGTTTTGTAAGCTAAGTTCTATGATTTGTAAAGGATATGTAATGTAAATGATGCCTACTTGGAATTCCATATATGCATGCTTGTTATTTATTGAGTTGTTGAATTGGTTGGTCTGAAAATCAATTAGGTACCCTCTTCGTTTAAACTGGTAAACGATGAGAAAACAAAGGTCATGCTGCCCAAATTCTAGCTAAATCTCATGAGGAGAGGTTGGATGAGTGCTAGGATTTAGTTTTGGGGCATGAACATTTGGGGTTTGTAATGGGGATGCATTTTTCCCTAGGCTTGGACTTGAGAAATATGGGAATTGGAATTCCCTGGCAGCGCGCTTAAGCGCTCAGGAGCGCGCCCAAGCGCCCTGCTGCCCCTGCGAGTGCCAATGCATTCTGCCTCCTTGCGCTGGAGCGCCCAAGTGGGGGCTTAAGCGCCCAGGATTGCGCGCTGGAGCGCCCTGGCGTGCGCTTAAGCGCCCTTTGCTGCAGAAAGTTGGGTGGCTTACTGCCCCCTCGTGTTTTAGCGCCCAGGGTGGGGCTTAAGCGCCCGGGGTTGCGCGCTTGAGCGCCCTGGTCCGCGCTTAAGCGCCCTTCGCCACTGAAGGAGGAGATGCTTCTGTCTCTGCGCGCTAAAACGTCCCAGTGGGAGCTTGAGCGCCCAGGCTAGCGCGCCTGAGCGCCCTGTTGCGCGCTTAAGCGCCCATCCACACTGGAATGCCTGATGCTTACTGCCTCCGTGCGCTTAAGCGCCCAGATGGAGGCTTTAGCGCCCGATAGCGCGCGCTTGAGCGCCCGGTAGCGCGCTGAAGCGCGCTGGGCCTGTGACCAACACTCTCTTGTGTTGCTTCAAATTGTCCTAACTTGGACTACAGTGCTCCGATTTGAGCACGGTTTGAAGCCACGGGTAGCTAATGAAGAAACCTACTATATAGTAGAAGTATTGAATTAAACAAGAAGTAAATTAATGGTTTAAAAATGGGAAATGAACATGATGTTAAGCTTAATTTATCTGTTTCCGCGAGGTAATATGGTTATGATCACGAAATTGGGTATTATAAGTTCGGTACGTTTTAAAATGAAAAATTTATCCGGATTTTAATTGAACCCATGTGATTGTAACTGCGCTTAATATCATAATGCGATGTTAACAAACCGGTTCTAGAACGGGGTGTTACATCAATAATTCAAAGTACATACTACACAATTCAATAAATATTTATAGTGATACTTATAAAACAAGAACCACCTATACGATTTCAAACCATGCCTTTTTTTGTTCTGCTTATGTGATTCTATTAGCTGAACTAACCTCATAGCATCTCTCTGTTCCTCTTCTTCAACTTCAGGTCAATCTCGCTTTCTTTCTCCGTCTCTTTCTGCTGCTAGCTCCAGATTGGGATGTTTATTGTTTGATTAATAGTGATGAGATGAGCAAATGGGATATTCATTGCTTAGATAGCATCCTCAGTCTTCAGTTGAATTCTTGGGATATTTATTGCTTCATTGGTTAATTTTTTGTTTATGTTCTTCAAAATTCAGGACCATATGGTTATGTTAGATTGTTTGGAATTTTTTTTAAAAAATATTGCTATTTTAATAAATAATTATTAATATATAGATGTTTTGAAATTATTTACGGATCTATTGCACTGTACTCATTCACGCCCAAATTGGGCATGACTATTGATGCCTAAGTTAGGCGTGACTAATTTAGTGTTGACACGTAGCACAAAAAATTAACAGCTAAATCGTAAAACTTTGGGAGGCCATAACTTTTGACTGGGGTATCCGAATCAAGTACATTTTTTTTTATTACACATAAATTTTTGAGATCTACGCAATAACACCTCATTTGACATATTTTATCTCTCACAAACACGATTCAAATTTGCAACAATAGTACTATATGAGCATTTAAACCCAGAAGCCTCTGAGTTCTTTTCGAATCAACACCAAACACAGTCTTCTGCCTACTAGAACCTCCATATCCCTATCTTATGGTTGTATTCTTATCACTATGAATTGAGACTTTATCTTTTAAGTTGTAGTCTGAAATTAAAGATGACACTGTTGCAAAATTTGCAAGTATACCGTTTGTTTCAAGTAATAAAGTGATAAGTAAAGATCGTTCCCTGACGGATTAGTGCACCAAGTACTAATTTAACTATTCCCTTTGATTTGGAAGAAAAATAGGTTTGATTGTGAATTTGATTGATTGTCGTAATTTAAAAATAGAATTTTAAAAGCAATTAAATTCAAACGCATGCAAGAATATCAAGAATGACAAGAAATTATGAGATTGATTAAAAAATGTAAAAAGATTGTAGCCAGGATGCACTTCACCTCCGATCCTCCCTTATATTCCTATATTGTATTTTATAATTAACTAATTCGTTTGCTCAGACAATTCATTATTTCCTTATAAAATAGTTGAACCCTAATGTCTTAATGATTTCAACCTTTTAACCCAACTAGAATCCTAGTGTCCTAGTAATTCCTCTTGAATTAAGCATTAAACAAATGAATTAAAAGTCTGCAATCTATGTAAGCATATGTCTAGGTAATGCACAAATTGTTATTCTACCCTTGTCCAGATTAAAATTCCGATATGTCTATTGTGAGCTCTAACCCTCAAAGCTTTATAATTAGAGTGGCCAGTTCTAATCAGGATATGGAAAAATTAACACAGGTAGAATAAAACAAACAAACTAATTAACTTATAAAAACAATATAGGAAATATAAAGGATTCACATCGGGTCCGTGATCTCAACTACAAAAAGAAATTAGCCAGACATATTCATGTATGACTTAAACAAATTAAAATAAGAAAAATTGTTCATGAAAGAAAAAGAAAAGAAGAAGAAGATGAAGGATCAATTGTCTTCAGTCTTCAACTCCGGTGGAATCCTGATCTTCAGCGCGAGTCTCCAAGAATTCTCTCAATTCTCTGATCTTCATAATTCGCTTGAGCCAAAGATGTCTGTCTTCTGGGGTCTGAGTCTCTATTTATAGACTTTGTACCCTAGCTTAGAAATCTTGATCAAATCGTCATCGTGTATCTTGGTCCAATCTTTATCTGATACAGCCTGAGATTTGTTTAAAAATTTCTCACGTACCTACCGCGCTACTAGCGCCAGGTTGGCGCCGATAGCGTGGGAGTGTTGTTCAGCCTACTGCATGTTCACGCTACTAGCGTGGTTCTCGCGCTGATAGCGCGGTTGACAAAATTGGCTGTTGCAGGGAGCGCCACTGCCACGCTAGTAGCGTGGTGCTTCTGGTTGAAAAGTAATGCTGGCGTTGATAACGCCAGACCCACGCTATGAGCGCGGGGCTTCAGGCTTGTGCTTCCAATTTGGGTTTCTTTCTGGTCCATTTCCTATAAAATTAGTAGAAAATCAGTGACAAGAGATCCGATTAAGATTTATCCATTTAATAGCAATTATAGCCCTTTTTATCAAAGATTGATCAAGATTCTTTATCTTTTTGGCTTAAAATCGTATATATGCTGGAGGCATATCAAACAATTCCCAGATTTGAACGTTGCTGTCCTCAGCAATGTATTATATCAAAGTAGAAACAAGGATGAATTCTATGGAAAGAAAAACATGGAACATGAATATCTTAAGAGATCAGACTGCTATGCATGTATAACTCCTTGTTGAAAACCTTCAAACAATGCCTTTCAGTTTTATTAAGATATTAAGATCATAACTTGAATGTTCCTCACTAGATAAATATACATTCTCATCAGTCTAGTGTTTGATGGGTTTACATTCATTCCATCAGTGTAGTAGTAATTTCATAGGCTTGATCATATTCTCAAGTTCCTAAAATTGAGGAACCCATTTGACATGCATAGACTGATCAAAAGGTCTTTGATAGGTTATAACTTGGCCTGGTTTGGGGATAAGAATCTTTTGGACAGAGGCTGATTAATTGTTGAGATTGAAATACTGAGCTTTTTGACAATGCTTTCTTCTCAGTCTTTAATTCTGCCACTTTTCGTCATTTTGGGATTCTTATTCCCTTTTTACCACATTTTTCTTTTCTTTCCTTGTTTGCAGATGTTTTCTTTATTTTCTCTTTTGAGTTGCATTTTTGCAAACCATTCTTCTTTTTCCTCTTTCAACTTACTTAACTTTTCTTTTGAGAAGTACCTTGACTTTTTCCTTTGATTAGCATTTCAATCTCCTTCAAGGTGTGTCAATGGGAACAAGGTTAAGTAATTTTCATCAGGTTTTTGAATAAATTGGTCTAAGGCTCAAAAGGGCTTAACAATGGAAAATTTCTTCTAGGTAGGCTATTTGTCTCTAAGTTAACAATAATAAACGTGCCTTTATCTTGTCAGTAATGCATGCAAGCTAGAGAAACAGATCAAGTTCTAGAATACTATTATAGTGAGG